CAAATGGGGGCACCAAGGGGATAGCAAAGGCAGGGTGGGGGGTGGGGGGGAAGGGGGCAATGGGGGGGGGTATTTTGGGGGGGGTCACTGACCACGCACGGCGGGGGGGGCGCAGCCTTTGGGGATGTTGGTGTGCAGGGCCAGGTCTGCCAGCAGCACGGCGCGCTCGGGGGGGCACGGATCGGCGTCCCGCTGCGGGGGGGCCTCCGCTGAACCGAACCCACACAGAGCCTGAAGGGGGGGAACCCCAATCGTGGGACCCCAATTATGGGATCTACATCGTTAGGAGCCGATAATGGGACCCCAATTATGGGGCCTCAATCATTAGGAACCAATCATGGGACCCCAATCATTAGGAGTCGATAATGAGACTCCAATCATGGAACAAAATTATAGGACCCCAATCGTGGGACCCCAATTATGGGACCCCAATCATTAGGAGTCAATAACGAGACTCCAATCATGGAACCCAATTATGGGACCCCAATCGTGGGACCCCAATTATGGGATCTACATCGTTAGGAGCCAATAATGGGACCCCAATTATGGGGCCTCAATCATTAGGAACCAATCATGGGACCTCCAATAATGGGACCCCCTCGTTAGGAACCAATTATGTGACCCCAATCATGGGACCCCAACAGTGGGACTCCGATCATTAGGAACCAATTATTGGACCCCAATCATTAGGAGTCAATAACGAGACTCCAATCATGGAACCCAATTATGGGACCCCAATCGTGGGACCCCAATTATGGGATCTACATCATTTGGAACCAATAATGGGACCCCAATAGTGGGACCCCCATCATTAGGAACCAATCATGGAACCCCAATATTTGGGGGTTGATAATAACGGGACCCCAACAACAGGACCCCAACCATGGGACCCCTGCCGTTGGGACCCCATAATGGGACCCCAATACCAAGGGGTCAATGGCAATGGGATCCCAGTAGCAGGACCTTGATAAGGGGGACCCCACTAATAATGAGACCCCACTAATAATGAGACCCCATTAATTATGAAACCCCAAAAATTCACCAAGAATGAGACCCCAATAACTGAACCCCCAAAATAATGCAACCCTATAACTAAATCCTAATAACCTGAGTCCAGCAATAATGGGCTCCCAACAGGACCCCAACAACAGGATCTCGGTAATTAAACCCTAATCATCAGACCCCAAAATTAACGAAAACCCAACAACGACGAGAGCCCAACAAACAGACCCCAATAACAACAAAATCCCCATGATTCCACCTCAAAAAATAACAGAATCCCAACAATCCCGCCCCAGCGGTAGACTCTCAATAATTAAACCCCAACAATTATGCAATCTCACTAATTAAACCCTGATAACGACGGGAAGCAGTTAATTAAACAGCATCAATAACGGAACCCCATAACGACAGCACCCCGATAACAACGAGATCCCAACAATTAAACCTTCCACAACAGCAGGACCTCAGCAACCAAATAATTACACCCCGATAATAATGAGACCCCGGTAATTAATAATTAATTAGCCCCCCCGACCTCCACATTGCTCCAGCGCAGCGCTCGGTTGAAGTCCTCCACCGTCAGCTTCCTCCTGCGGGTGTGCTTCAGGAACTGGGCACTGTTCTGGGGGGGGGAAATGGGGGTCAGCGCCCCACAGCCCCC